AGTTGCCTTTCAAAGAATAAATCTAGTCTATCCGACCTTTGTTTTCTGTTCCCATCCTCAATCACTTGATGGATAGAAATAATGCAGTATTCCCTTTGGTTTCCTCTTTTGCCTGCTATAGATTCATAGATGCTAGGGTCGGAAGGGACCTCAATAGATCATCGAGTCCGACCCTCTGCATAGGCAGGAAAGAGGGCCGGGTCTAGATGACCCCAATTAATCAGGGTCCATTTAAATTGAGGAGAAACGAAACAATTTTCATGGGTTGGTCGCGGTATAAATAGCGAATTGCATGGATTTTTCCTGGATGTTCTCATACATGCTATACAACAAGGTCCATGTAGAGTTGCACAAAAAGTTTAGAAATCCTAATTGCAGACAAGGTTCTTTGGGTGAATCTGATCTCTTTTATTAGACCAACTTCAATTCTAATTCACGCTTATCTTAATAAAAACAATCCATTCAGGTACTTTTGCAAACTTTTCTCCTATGCCTGAAGAAGAGTGTTTGTGCCTGAAAGCTTGCAATTAAATACATTTTTTTTTTTTTTTTTGCAAAAAGCTAGTTGGTCTAATAAAAGATATCGCCTCTACCACGAGTCCTGATCCATGAAGGCAGGTGCCTATGCCCCGGTACGGAGGAGGGACGAGGGGGTGGCTGCCACCTGGCTTGTAGCTGGAGCCAGGCAGAACAGCCCGCAGTGAGGTGACTGCTGCCCACCGTGCCACCTCCCCACTGGGGAGCCAGCATTTTATTTTTATTAACTTTTTAAAGTTGATTTTACGGACAATCTCATATTTCCCATTTTCTGCAGAATCACGAATGGACCCTTAATTATGAATTTAACACAAACCATGATTGGATACGTGTTTTTTAAGGAGAGGAATCCACCCAAATCCTGCGTCCGGTTCCACATGTGGAAAGCTGGAACAGAGCCCCTTAATCTAGATTTGAACATTGCCAGGAAGAGTTAGGCCCTATTCGCAGTTAGCCCCATCTGAACACTACAGAAGCACAAGTAGTCCCATAATTAATAGTAATAAGCTAATAACCAGTAAGTAGGTCTCTGTAGTGTGTCCCTTTAGGGTTTCCTTTCACGAGGACAGAAAATAGTGTAAAGATATTGTCTATGTTGCCATCTAGTGGTACCACAGTCATTCTGCAAAAATACTAGAAATATGGAAATAACGTTCAGACAAGGTTCGTTGGGTAAATGTGATCTCTTTTATTAGACTAACTAAATAGTTGGGAAGAAATTGTGCTTTGCAAGCTTTTGGGCACAAACACCCTTCTTCAGGCAGAGGGAGAGTCTGCTATTTTGTGCTCTCCTGGATGGAAAAAAAGCCAACATGCAAAATGCAGGTCTGTGAAAATGCAATGCGTGGCAGTGAGGAGACAAGAGGTAAGAGATAGGTAGGTGTGGGGGGACACAAAAAGGAAAGTCGACCTGGCGATATAATGTAGCTGGTTAAATGGAGAGAGGTTACCTGGGGTTACCAGATGGCAGGTACAGTGACAATGCGCCTCTGATCCTCACTGCCACGCATTTGCATTTTCACAGACCTGCATTTTGCATATTGGCTTTTGTTCCATCCGGGAGAACACAAAACAGCAGCAGACTCTCCCGGTGCCTGAAGAAGAGTGTTTGTGCCTAAAAGCTTGCAAAGAACAATTTTTCCTATTATTTAGTTGGTCTAATAAAAGAGATCACATTTACCCAAGAAACCTTGCCTGCCTATGTCCTTAGACCAACACGGACACAACCAACACCCCCAAAAGAGCATTCAAGCATTTCCTGGAATCCCACCCCGGTTTATAATTAATTTTCCTCGACCTATATGAACCAGCACTAGCCTGCAAAATATGATGCAGCACAAGCTGGCTGTTTCAGGGCACAAGGAGCAGGACCGAGAAGACAAGCAGCACACCTCACCCGTGGAAAGGAACCTGTGGAAAGAGCAGCTCCCAGTGTGGCCGTGCATGCATTGAGAACAAGCTTGAATATAACTGGGGTGGAGCTAGGTGGCTGAAAAATGAGGGGAACACGATGGACTGAAAATGGGTGGAACGGGGCCTTTGTTACCTGCGAGGAAACTGCAGACAGTGCAAGACATACGTACTACACCTCCAGTGTGGCCATGAATATATTTTTCAAAGAGATGAGCTCAGAGGAATACAAGGCTCTGTGACTTTCAGAGGTTGTTTCAATCAGTCTGAGTCTCATAGAGATGATGATTTCATAGATTTCATAGAGATTCGGGCTGGAAGGGACCTCGGAAGATCATCAAGTCCGGCCCCCTGCCCCGGGGCAGGAAGTCAGCTGGGGTCATAGGATCCCAGCAAGATAAACATCCAAATTTCTCTTGAAATCATCCAAAGTATGATGATCTGGGAAGACTGACTTGGGATGTTAACCGCATGTCATTTTTTATGGAACAAAAAGAAAAAGTCAAAAATAGGTACGTTTTGGAGTTTCCTTAGAGGAACTTGTGCTATGGAAACAATAACGAAAATTCTCAGAGTTTCTTCATGGTTTTTTGCCTTCCTATTCAGAAACAGTGAATATGTTGATATTGTTAGACCAAGTCTGAAAAATTCAGGCAGCCGGCTCCGCTCAGCGGTGACGCATGAAAACAGTACTGAAAGTAAGTACTTTCCCCCTAAAGTACAGGGAACTGTTCCAGCTAAGACTTAGGTAAGTCCTGGCATCCAGACTTTGATCCACATCCAACATTTACACTAGGCTTGTGCCTCTATTAAAGCACCAATCCTAGACCCCAGATCTCACCATCCCTGAATAATAGGATTAGAGGGCCTAGAGAGGGTGGAAAATTTGGATTCAGCTAGAGATTGTGCAGTTTAGCCTAACTAAAGCATCTGAAGGAGGCATTTTATGACATTGAAGGAGCTGCTTTAAGTTTTATTCGTGAAGAGAGAGTCTGAAGACGCAAACCTGATCAAGCTAGAATACTCCAACAATACGAGGATAAAATGTATTTGGCATGTAGCTGTGCTCAAGTTAGTCCAAAGACAGTAATGGGACGCCATAGCAGGTAACACAATCAAGGCACTGATCACATGCTGTAATTTAACTGTAGCTGCCACACGGAGCCAACTGTGCATCAGGAAATCAGCATTCGGTTTTTCAAAATAAAAACGTTGCAAACACACTTAATTTCAATAGTTTATTGTGATGCACCAATACAAAAACAATATTTCCATATTACAAATATGGGCAATGGATGTCAAAGGCATTTATCATTCAATCGGTTTTATATCTATTAATGCCTCTGTGCTGCACACCATATTTCACAAATGCCATGCTTTACACAGTCAAGGGCTAGGAGAGGGCTATCAACTCCAACAAGGCCGGTCTGTTGGTTCTTCTAATCAAAAAGAAGAAGAAAAAGTGAAGCGAGCGATGACCTAAGCTCTTAAAAGGTGTAATTGTTAATTGACTCAAATCAATGAGAGTTAAATCTTCACACTCACAAGAAGTGATGGCTCGATGGTTTTGTCTGTGTGTATGGCTCTGTTTTCAGGGTCAGGGTCCAAAACAATTCATGGGGGGAAAAGCTGCAAAGAAATAAAAAACTTTGAGGCTTTGCTGTAATGAGATTTTAAATTCTCCTGGAAGTTTCCAAACAAAATGTTCATTTTGCAATTGCTTTTTTCCTCCTGTTTAACAAAGAACTCATTAGCTTCATCTCTTTACTAGTAATTCTTCCTGCCTCATATCTTTTGGGTAACTTGATCCCTTGTGGTTTCTTTTTCTTAATCTGAACTGCATGACACATAGAGAGAAAACAATGCACGAAGTGAAAATACGTAGGATGTGGCCTGGATTTGAACCGCATTCACAATAGTAGAAATTCAGAGTAACTTCCCAGGCTTGAACGGAGTTACCCTGGGTTCATGCAAGTATAAGTGTGGTCCTAATGTTGCTCATTTCATTCTTCTTCTTTGATAACTTAAATGTCATGTTGTCCCTGGAAGCCAGATGCTGCTACTCATGTGTAGAGCAGAGGCACCGTCCTGTGCTGACAGTAGGTGCAGTAGCTCCATTGCCCAATATTTTGCACTATCAGTTAATCCCAGCCCAGCTTATAAAAATAATCGTATTCATCATTACATTCACAGCTCCTCTGGGCTGGAATAGAGAAGAGAAAAACCCTGCTCAGATCAGAAGCACCTTAAAGCTTTGCTTGCCTGGCTTGTGTATGGGCTTGCCCCACTTCCATCTTTTCTACAAAAATCCACATTTTTGGTCCTTCTTTCAACACAAATCTTTGACCAAAGGTTCTTAGCTTTCCCCTTAGAGTTGGGCTTGGGAGACTGCCATTTCCCTTCCATGCACTGTCTCATCAAGAAACGAGTTGTACCAAGAAACCTAGTTTTATTCTAGACGTAGCACCCGAAGAAGAAACCTAGAATTTAGGCAATCTAATCGACATGCCAATCAGACTTCTTTGTACTGGAACTCATTAGTATGAGGTGGCATCATACCACAGGGACACCTTCCTCCACTGCTCCAAAGGTACTAGATGAGCCCAGAGAGCACAGGTGGCAGGATGGGCCTTTTTCAGAAACACAACTTGATAGCTTAGCAGAGGTGTCTTCTCACACTGAACCTCATCTCGTGCCCACAAGTCAAGACTCTTTCCATTGTCTTCAGCCTGTGTTGGATTGCAATCTCGAACCGTAAACCTGCTTGAAACCTTTCTAAAACAGACCCACCACTTTCACATGGCTGCCTGATTTGACCATTGAGAGATACTTGCATGGCAAGCAGTTGCATCCAGGGGGAACACTCTCTTCCCTGCATAACCTTCCTCCATCAGCTCAAGAAGAAAGGGATAATCATTAAAAAAGAGAGATATAAAACTGCAGTGAATCAAAGTTTCAACCACCATCCAAAGAATGGGATGGGACACACAAGAGTTTTGTCCAGAGAGGTGGTCAACCCTGCCGTTCTCCCTGGCTTTGTTGAGTGTGGTAGGTATCTAGGCTCATGTTCCAGTTGCTGGGTACCTTATAGCCATGGCTAAATGAATTCAAAGTCATGCCTCAAAAGCATCAGTCAATGATTTGGAGTCAATGGAAGACACATTCCAAGTCCCCGTGAAATACGGATTATATTTCTGTCACTTCACAGGAATATTATACTTCAAATGAGACTGGAGAATGGCCTCCCCCAAATAAAAACTTCCCATTCATAACATGGAATAAATGACACCTGAATAGGAACTCATTTAATTTTTCAAAACCAAGACTCCACACTCGCACATCAACGTAATAAAACACCAGTATTTTGCCATTTGATCATGAAACAATACAAGCCAATTCCACATGAGAAATACTAGTGATGCATCAGGCAAAATATATTAAAAAATGTCTAATTTTATAAATAGTTATACACAAAATATGTTACTAAAATACATTTGTGCAACTCTCCCTTCCCAAAGAACGCTGCGGGTACCCAAAGTCTTTATAGTTTGCCGAGTGTAATACCCTTGAGAAGAAAACAAGTGATGGACTCTTGCAGATAGTGGTTGTCTTGGTTACAGCTGGCTAATAAAACTGGTGGAGATGATAAATAATTCTTTCTTTTTTTGGTGTGCTGTTGGAGTTAATCTCTTTGGGACTAATTCTGCTCCTTCAAACCTCCACAAGTGCTGAAAATAAGTGAAGGAACCAGCAGGTTTTCACTCTGTAGGGTCTCCGCTTGCAGAAAGACACCATCTCCGGAGCGCTGAATCTGCACGTGTTCTGCATACATCAAGTAGGGACTTCACCGAGATGGGGAGCGGTTGTTCTGGCTGTGACAGAGCAGCTCATACTGGGAGACACTTCATTGGCTCTGGTAGAATGGTTACTGGGTGGACCGTGTCCAGCCAGTGGTTCTCTGTCCTAAAATACATCTTTCAATGGCAGTGACGCTTTTGGCAAGGTATACAGCTGACCTTGGCAGAGGAGCATTTGTGAATGGAAGAGGTAACCTTCCCAACAGAACCCACTTGCTGAATGACACCGAGAGGATAGATTATTTCATGTGAGTCCCAGATTTACCTTTACCCTAAGTCCTCCCTTCCTTAGAACAAGATACCCATGTTTAAAGGGGCCACCTGTGCACAGGCTTGGAATGTGCTTGGAGTGCATTTGGTCCTACGATCCCAAACTCAAACCAGCTGATCAACCCGCATCCTGGTTTTAGGAAAACAAAATGTATCAAACATACAAAATCGTGACAGAAACAGTGATTCTAAATACCTTGCGGTAAAAGTTAAGTGCCAATTAAACAGCTCAAGAGTGAATGCCCTGTCGTTCTAAACACAGCATAGGGTTGGCCAACATCGCCAAGGGGGCTTCCACCCACCACTAACATAGAGTTGATTGTGCAAACATTTGCAGACACAAAAAATAATCTTTCGAATGATCAGATTTGGGAGGAACAAGTAAGACAGATACATAAATCTGTCAGTCAGAGGCTTAAATCCTGTTATTTGGCCCTGCAAGGGCAAATTTAAACCCCGCCCCCTGCCCTTTTTTTTTTTTTTTTGAGAATCTAGGCCAAGACATTTTCAAACAATGGGCCATATTGTCAACGGGCACAATTCAGCATAGCTCCATTGACTTCAGTGGTGCTAAGTCTATTTACAGCAGCCGAGAAACTGGGCCCTTAGCCCCCTTATACAGTACAGCGTGTTACCACGTTAGGTGCCCCAGACTAGCAGCATAAAGAAAAAATAAATTCATTTGGATTTTTCTGCTTGTACCTAAAAACAAATGTCTTTGTTGAGCAGACAAAGCAAACATTGCATAGATCCATATTTCATGTGTTTCTGTGTCCAACAACAGAATGTCTAAGGGAACAAGAACGGTGAAGTCCAGCTCTTTACAGAAAAAGGGAGGTCCAAACCAATAAAGATTATAATTATACTGCAAGTCGAACCACAAAACCAGAGGTGGTAGGTGTAAAATGACTGGGTAATGACAGTTAAAATAGCCAGGGCTGGTAGTCTCTCAATAGGGTGTTGTGTGTAGTCCATTGATGGATCAGCCAAGTAATCCCTGGTGTTAAACATCGTTTCATTGCATGGTAATATGAACTATCTTCTTTAGATGAACCGAAAGGTTGAACAGAGATAGAAAACAAGGGCCGCTGTATGTGTTCAAGGAAGAAAGAAGTCACTGTGTCTGTTCCTTGCTTTGCATATCCCAGCTTCAGGGCCAGACTTCTTCTTTGCAATGCAGATGGATACCGTGAGGGCAGGCATTTGTTCAGCCCTCAAACATCTGAACCAAAGTCCTTTGCTACTGTTGACTGTATATTGTATGTTGTATGTGGGCCAAGTCCTCAGTGAGTGCAAATGCTCTTCTTTGAATTGAATGAAAGCAAATTTACACCAGCTGGGACTGGATCCTGTAGAGGAATGCTGGGTTTCTGATTAATTGGCTCAAGTTTCTTATAGGAGCGGTAGGAAACTATGGGTAGCCCTTCTTTAAATAAAATGAAATTGCAGTGTATGGCATTAGCACACGCATCTTCACATATGCTTTCTGCTGTTAAGGAAACATTCAGCCAAACCAGGAAAATGATTCTTTTTCTTTAAATAAAAAAAAGGAAAGTTAGGAAATTAATATCAATAAAAACCAGACACAGTAGCCAGTCTCCATGATATGTTCTTAGGCTGGGAATAAGTCTCTCACGGTATTAACAGTGCTATACATCCATCTCAGTCTGGACTGAAGATTTGTTCTCCTGGAGGTCACTGTTACCATTTTCTGATGCATCCGAGCTGCCTGGAAGGGACTCTGGTGTAGGTGGTTTATAAAGTAAGCACGCCAGCAGAAAGAAGACGGTTCCAAGCACCTGCAGCCATCAAAACAGCCCCAGCTTATGGTTAGAGCCACGTATAAAACCCACCACTCCCTTAGCATAGGTACCAACCAAGGACTGGATCCTTGGGTGGTGCAAATCAGCAGAGCAACTCTGCAAGCTGCAGCATTTCTTGTGTCAAGGGAGTTACACTGCTGCCCCCACCTTCCCACATGGACCCAGCCTGATCTTAAGAGAAAACCTAGCAGGGTGAAAGAGTAAGAGCACTGGAGCATATTCCAAGGGTTCAGCCAGATGATCTGTAGGGGAGAATTTGGGGCTCCTATAAAGCCAAGGAAGAGATTCGCTTGCAAAGCATCATAGTGTGTAGCTCTCGAGTGCTTTTTAAGAGTTGGCTTGAAATCTCTGAGGACCACAGTTCTCTTGATCCTACAGAGTCAGTAAAACAAGATGGTCCTAGATGGAGGTCCTAACTCCTAATTCTAGAAGCGTTCATCCCCGTGTGAATAGCACTTTTCATAAGGCAAATAACAAACACGCTCGCTATTCATATTCAGGCTCTGCATTGGGCTATGTTATACAGGCAGCGCCAGTGGCTGCTGGCGTACCTGTACCTGTTAGCACCAGCAGTAGACCGCAGTTAACAGTCTCCAATGATGCTGAGAATCAGATTCAGATGTTAATCGCACATCTGCCCTTGAACTGAACATAACCCCCTTGTATAAACTGTAGTCGACTGCAGGAAATGCTCCAAATCCGAATGCCCCAGGCAGGATCCCTCCTCAGATACCATCAAACCCTTCATGTGAAAAGGAGATTGTCTAAAATGGTACCATTATGTGGTTTTCTGGTAGCTTGGGTATCCTGTTATGACACAGGCTGTCTGAACGTCATGGGGCAGGTCTGCTATTCTTGACTATCCCACACAATTCTCTCTCTGCTTCTCAGCTTGCTGAGTCGATGAGTTTGTGAATTAATCATTGGACAAGTCCATGGTTTTAAAGAATTCATTGTCAGAAGACGTTTACTGAGCAGATAAAGAGAGGCTAGAGATTGTGGGGTACATGACCCCATGGTCAGGAAGCTCCAGGGGTAGCAGGACATAGGGTTGCACTGGGATGGCTACTGAAAACGCCTGGCATGGACAGCTTGCATGGAGTAATAGGGATTTATGCCATCTCTGGCCTATGTTATTTTCCCAATTGGTGCATATAGCAGAATCGCTACCCAAATGCCTACTCATAGCAGCTACCGAGCTCTGTTGTGACCTGCAGGCAAAGGGCCGATTTGGATTGAATTGAAAATGATGCCTTCTGCTCATAAATATTGAAATATTCAGCTGATCTATCACAACATTTTCCAGCAATGGTTATTTACTCTTATTTTCGTTTGATCATGGTGACTCATGACAATTTAGCGAACAGACTGCAGTTATATATTTAACTCCACTTCTTGAAAGACCAATTTCAATAATTGTTAGGTTTTGTAAGGTTCGTTTTTTTTCTCTCCCTAAAAATTTCAGAGGGGAAATATTACGCCTGGAAAATAATTTAGAAGAATCAAGGGAATGGTGGTGCCTGAGGAGTTATTAAATTTTATAGATTTCATAGACATTCGGGCTGGAAGGGACCTCGTAAGGTCATCGAGTCCAGCCCCCTGCCCCAGGGGCAGGAAGTCAGCTGGGTCACAGGATCCCAGCAAGATAAACATCCACATTTCTCTTGAAGGTGTTCAATGTAGGTGCTTGAACCACCTCCGATGGCAGGCTATTCCAGACCTTGGGGGCTCGGACAGTAAAGAAATTCTTCCTTATGTCCAGCCTGAAATGGTTTTGGAGGAGTTTGTGACCGTTCGATCTTGTCATCCCTTGGGGCGCTCTGGTGAACAGATGTTCCCCCAGATCCTGGTGAGCACCCCTTATAAACTTATAGGTGGCCACCAGATCACCCCTGATCCTGCGCTTTTCCAGGCTGAAGTGATCCAGGGCTCTCAGCCTGTCATCGTAGGGTCTGCTTCCCTGACCTCTGATCATGCGCGTGGCTCTTCTCTGCACTCTCTCAAGCTTCTCCACATCCTTTTTGCATTGTGGGGCCCAAAACTGGACGCAGTACTCCAGCTGCGGCCTCACCAAGGCCAAGTACAAGGGGAGAATGACATCCTGGGATTTACTCAAGAAGCATCTATGGATGCAAGCCAGCATTTTGCTCGCTTTACTAGCCGCGGCATCGCACTGAAGGCTTATGTTCATCTTGTGGTCAACCATGACTCCCAAGTCCCTTTCACCCGTAGTGCTAGCCAGCTTAGCGCTGCCAAGCCTATAAGGATGCTGCAGGTTTTTCCTCCCAAAGTGGAGAACCTGGCATTTTTCGATGTTAAACACCATCGGGTTTTCGTCTGCCCATTTCCTGAGCCTGTCCAGGTCAGCCTGGATCGCCCTCCTGTCTTCAGGTGAGGACGCTTTACCCCAGAGTTTGGTGTTGTTGGCAAACTTGGCCAGTCCGCTCCTGACTCCAATGTCCACATCATTAATGAAGATGTTGAACAATACAGGTCCAAGGACAGAGCCTTGGACATATTATGACAAATAAATGGAATATTAGGGAATAGCACTGTTTTCAGACTATTTCTTGTGTGAAGATAAAAAGTCACATTCATGGTCAGAACAACAAAATAGATGCTTTTATAGGACAGTTGAGAGAACTGCAGGATTGGAAGGAGCTCTAGGGTCCAGGGGCAGATCCAGGGAGGGGGGGTGCACCTTATCATCTGTACCCCTGTTTTCAAAATTGTAGATCTGCCCATGCCCTCTGCCTAATGATCTGGACTTCGGGCTATGCTATTCTTAAACCATCCCAGTCAGCTGCCTTCCCAACATCTTCTTGTAACCCCTCAGTGCGGGAGATCCAACAGTTTCCCAAGACAACTCTCTATTGCTCTACTGCTCTTACAGGTAGGAAGCTCTCTATTGCCAAAAGTGAGATGGTAAGTGGGCATCACCTTGTAGACAAGTCCGGCGATCAGAGTATGTTGACTCATGGCCGAATTCTGATAAACGTAGCAAGAACCTTGTTCTCCACACTGGTCCTGCCAAAGCAGACACGATTTATCGATCATCGAACCAAAGGCAATAGGACCGGGAATACCTCCTGGGCGAAGACAGAATGGAGCTTCGGTTACATAACGTCTAGCAGTCCTCTTCACAGCAACCCAAAAGGCTTTCAAAAAACGGGTCAGACTTTGATGAAACAGCGATGGGGTAAATTAACATCTCAACCTTTCTGGCTGGGATATTTGAGAGAGCCCAAGGGCTTAAGTACCCCAAATACATGACATTTCAGAGTTGAACAACCAATTCCTGTTGACCCGTTGTAAAATCTGAACTCGGCAATGGGTTACAGACGATAGACATAGAGAACGGGCCAGCACAACCCCATTTGTTCTTAGAATGAGCAAATGTTACTAAAACCCCGTTGTTATTTTTTACTGTTTCTAAAACAGAGTCATAGAATCAAAGGACCGGAAGCGACCTGTAAGATCATCAAGTCCAGTCCCCTGCCATGGGCAGGAGGTTATTGGGCTCAAACGAGCTCTACGAGGTGCTTGTCCAGCCTCCAACATGTTAAGGGATCTTTCGTTTTCACCGAAACATCCAACACAGAAGCTTAAAACAGGACCTCAGTTCAACATTTGACATCTGTAAGAATTCAAAGCCCCATCACTGCCAGGATTACAAGAGTAAATACAAGCTAGCCAAATTGTATGAAGCGTTGCTGTTCTCTATCTCGACAGCCAGATGAGTTATTTACAATGAGCAATCTACTTGCTATATTTAGCTCTCTTTTCATTTGCAAATTTTATGCAAACAACATTGGGTTTTTTATGAATTAAGTAGATGTGCAGAGGATTTTTTTCTCTCCCCTAAGCATCATATACCCCCAATGTCCCTGTTTTCACCTATATGTGTTTGGTACCTTGATGCAACTATGACACGTACTCAACAAAAAACGATAGATAATACATGTTATGCACCCATTCCCTTCATGCCATACCTAGAGTTCTTACTACAATCCACTGGATTCCTAGTGCAAACGATCGCTGTCTGTCTGAGACACACCTAGGATAGACAAAGTTAAAAATACTGGTATGGTGAATAGTGGTCCCAGCAATCCCATGAAGCAGTGAATTCTGATGAGGAAGGGGCATGCTTTCTGGCCCACTTTGCCTTGCGCAAAACTGCCATCCACATTTTGGGAGGAGAGGAGTACCGTCACATCGAAATACCTTTCTGAGCATGTAAATGGACTATTTAGATATTCAGGTCCTCAGATTGGTGCTTACAGCAGGACGAAGAAAAACATGTGGCCAGATATCATCAACATACCAATAAGCATGTCATTTTAAGCAGGCTCTGTCCTTAGGCAGAGATGACAATATGTGCGTTCTCGCCGAAACAACGGCTGTGTTGGGCAAACAAGAAGGCGCCCCTCCTTACCGAAGAGTTGCCGTCAGAGCAGGGATACTACTCAGGAACGTGAAGAGAATCACAATGAACATGAGACACATGAGAAGGGGCATTGTCTGGCAAGAGGAGGTGCACTTCCCCGCCGTCGCTTGGCCAACATCGGTGGTGTTCCCCAGAATGCAACTGCATTCCTGGTAAACCTGGGAAACAGAAAAACTCCTCACTCTCTCACAGAGATGGCATTTCTATCATCAAAGCCAGGGCTTCGCATTGAAATATATGGGAGGCAGGGCTGGATTAACCCTTTAGTGGGCCCTATCAGCATCAGGATACATGCCACGAACCTCACGAGACTGCTCAAAGCTCTGGAAGCCATGTGAGCACACGGTGTGAACATGCTTGGACATATGCAGGGAATACAACTCGAGAAGTAAGGGCACAGAGTGGGATGCAGCCTGCTGGCAGCATGGAAATCACATGCATCTGGTGAGCTAAGGGCAATTTCCAGCTATACCCATGAAAAACAAGAGCCCAGCTGCTGATTTCTGTCCACTTACAGTGGCTATAGGCCAGGGAGGTGGGAGCAGAATCTGGCCCTGTGCTGACAGACTTACACGAGGAAGTTTGGAAATGCAAAACTAAAAATGAAGCATACGGATGAGATCAGTGCCCAGAAACACAGACCTGCATCTCAGCTAGAGCCTGACTTCTCTTTCCTGTAAACTTTTAACACAACTCTATTGAGGCCAACCAGAGCTCAAGCTGCCCACGCTCCCTGCAAGCCCCCTGCCAGGGGGTCTTCCAAACATACCTTTTGGCTACTACTGGTAGATAGCATTTTGCACCCTGCATGGCAGGGAGAGTAATACATGATGTCGTTGCTCCCGCAGACTGGGCTGTAAACCTCCCTTAGACAGTCACAGTCTGCGTTGCAGGCTGTAGTCAGGTTCAGACTGCTTCCAGGCAAGACACTGCAGGAAACATAACGTTAGTCAGCAACGGGTCCTTAAAGAGCATCTTTTAGGTGGGGGGCAGGCTGGAATAAGAGGAGAAGAGGACAGAGGTGTATAGGACAGAGCATATTAATGCATCCTGAAAGTGCATGTGCGCCGTCTTACATGCCTGGCAGACTGGCCCTACACCTCTGCCAGATGATAGCTTATTTTCTATTCCTCTTCACATTGGTATTAATCAGAGAATTGATTTTATCCCACTGATTCATGTTTCGACACCATCCCACCGCAAGCCAAGTTCAACGGGGATTGCTGAGCTTACCTTCCGTCGTACGCCTGCGTTACTCCTGCCATAGGCATGTTAGGGCAGTGAATAAAAAAGATGAAAATGGCCAGCAGACTCGATAGGGTGCAACACAGGCACAGTTTGATGATTCCTGAGCAGCGGAGGTTAAATTTATTCACAAAGAAGCCTCCCAGGAAGGTGCCTCCTCCCCCCGCCGGCACGACAAGGTAACCTAGACAAGAAAGGGAAGCAAGTTCATAACCGTCAAGGCGAGGAGTTTTTGCTGGTCTGATCAGACTAAGCACAGAGGACGTGCACAGCAACTGCCCTTCTGCACCACTGGCTGTGCTTGTTTCTCCGTGGGGGTTTAGCGGACTCTACTGAGACAAAAATCATAGGATCGATTCTGCCTTCACCCGTGGCTTGAAAAGCCTGGCCCCAAATTGGAAAAAATAAGGACTTATGTTCTGCTTAGCAAGGAAATCTGCTCAGCAGAGTGACTGCAAGAACAGCAATGCGGGACTCCACGGCTATTGTGCCTCGCTGAATTCAGATCAAATAGGCCTCTACATACACCCGGTGATAAGCACATTCATTTTTCACTAACTCATAGACATTCAACCTCAGCATGAGCAAAGGAGCCAAGCTGGGTTCTTTCCACCAACAATAAAAGTCGAGCCGCTGAAAGCATCCTCAGGTGCACTTCAGCAATACTGAGCAGCTCCTATTAACAAGACCCTAGTGATGCTGGGAAAGGAGCCGGCCTCCCAGTCCTTTTGACTGGATTTCCCAGCAGGTGCAAGAACAGCAAAAGTTTTTTCTTTTTTTTACTAATGCGAATAGATGTAACTGAATCCACGCACAGAGCAGACCTGCTGGGTAGGAAAGGGCTATTTGCATCCTATGACTTTCCAGATGATAGCCCGATTCTAAAAGCGCTACAGAGAGTAACGACTAGACTATTTTGTGACCTTAACTACCACCCTCGTGAAAATAACCCACTTCTTGGTCATGGGGTTTTCACTGTAAAACAGACGGGGACACCGCACAGAGCTCATTTCCTTACCAAAATACGTAGCAGCAACAGAGGCACTTAGACTGAACTGTGACTCGAGGAATTTGGGGCCGAAGGTTGACATCCCAGCTATGAGCGTGGCTTCAGTGGCTCCAGCTAAGCAGAGGAAGATGAAGGTGGGGTTCTTCAGGAGCAGCAGGACTGATCTGGGGAATTCAGGAACCACATGCAAAAGATAAATAGGTTGAAACAGGTTCACACAGCACCATTTTAGACCGCTACTGTCTCTTTAAATCTTAGGTCCAGATGGGGCTGGTAGAAAGGATGAAGTGCAGCTGCTCCACTTCTCTGGAAAGAAAAAAGGGAAGCGAATGCTGTAGATGTGGGAAAAAAGGCAGTGTTTTCCCCTCCCATGCTGACTCAGCTGTGCCAGCCCATGCAGGGAGCCAAGGACACATCCCACCCTCCTTATCACCCTGCGAAGTGTGGGAAGAACTGAATGCATGCCATGAAATGCTTCCACAAAGCAGCTCCCTGCAAGAAGAGAATCAGTAGCTGGCCTGTGAAGTGGGATTGATGGTTTAGGGAATTATCAATGTTGTTTTTCACATCCCTATTCATTTATAGGCTGGATTTTTTTCCCCTCTATTGGGCACCTGGATGCCTTTGTGAATGCATTTGCTGGGCCTCTCTGCCTCGCACTATCAGGGTCTGGCATGTCCCTCTTGCAATCGTGCAATCGTGGGTATTTCAAGTCCCATAGGCACAAAGGGAGATGATGCAAGTTCAAGGTCCTTTAAATGGTATTAGTTCTGAAAATTCAGGGCCTGACCACAAACAGTAATTTCAATGCAAGGTGATAAAAGCAGGGGTGCTCTGTCAAGAATGAGCCCTGAAGGGTGAATAACTCAGGTCCCATGTGCCTAACATAGGAAATAACCAGGGACAACCAGTGTGTATTAATCTTTGTAAAACTAAGGTAACTGGAAACAAGGTGGGTTTTAAATTTTAACTCTTGCACTGCTATAACAGGAAGTTCAGGCTTCATCAGCTCACAGGAGACATCAGGCAAACCGTTTCTTCTTCAATAAGCACTTTCATAAAGACGTTACCTTCCTGCTATAAAACAACCACCCTGCTGTAAAACCGCTCTGACAACCAGGCACAGTTTTACTTCCAGATTTGCTAGTCTGTGTAGCGGATACATTTTCCTTTTGACTAACTCAGATTTATGAGAAGAAACCCGATATTCCTGACAATTTACCAAGTGCCATGTAGATGCAGAAAGAAGAGCCAGACATGATCCTTCGCCTGGACACAGAAAAAGCCCGGGGCACACTGGATAGTCTCAATTCTTCTCCTCTCTCTCAGATATTTGACCGTGAATTTATATTGCTTTGTAGGGATTTCTTTTGCAGCTAGCTTGAAATTCTGTCATGTAACTTTATACAGAGGAGCAACTGCTCTGCTTTCAGGGGTACACAAAGTCTTGCTTTGGCAGCTGGAACAAACTGCCTTTGTCTGGAGTAATGGTGATCTGGCCTGTAACAGCTTTTCCTGCAGACGGTTATGGTGGATTGTTTTTTAAAAGCATATATAAGAATTGCTTGACTATTGCTTAGCACGTGGGAGAGACTGCTACCGCCATCGGGACAACGCCGCTGCAATACAGCTGATTGTCAGGGCCATCGAGCGTCTGCCTTGGAATAGAGGGATTTACAAGTTATTCACCCACGCAAACGAAATGACTTCATCAAACCCAAGCAGCCAAAAAAGAGGGGAAATTCCTACAATTCGATTTCATGGGACTAGATTAGAGCAGGTGTCTGTAATTGTTAGAGCCAGTTGAATCCAGCACTGTTTTGGGGACGACCTTTTGTCTTCTACACTCCATCTTCCACTTGAAAGAAGCTAACAGAAGCACCTGCCTTTTATTTGGTAGAGTAATGCCTAATTTCTTGACTGGAAGATATACTTTACAGAGCTGCCAACTGATGAGCTGACTTGTGTGGCTGCTGTGACCGTATCCAGTTCAAGAGAAAATAGAGCAGTAAAAGCATGGGGTCATTTCGGGGCCTCAAAGCCCTTACAAGGGGGAGGTTATGGGGGGGTAAATCAAAGCAACTCCAATGATACCAGATGAGGCTCTGTTTTCTCTTTTTTACAGGTGGAGGGCCCACCTGAGAGGTGCTGCCCAACAGAGAGCCCATTGAAGTCAGTAGGAGCTCTTCCCTTGATGCTGATTGAATGTCATTGCATTCAGATGCTGCACAAACCCCGGGAGTTAATGCCCTCAGCTCTTGAAGACAAGGGAAACAAGGAAGGTTAACATTGTCTTGGGAGAAGGTTTGCTCTCCATCAGGGCCTGAGCCTGCAACCTTTACTCAGACAGGTACTTCTCCCTCATGCTGAATTAATTGAGGCTGTTAGAGCCTGGGCAGAGTCTGATCACCTGAGACACTGTGCAGTGTCAAGAGAATGGGTTATAATAATGTAATGTCATATCGGGTTGTTAAAAAAAACCTTCTCTTTTTTAATTTACTTGCCCATAGTGTGTGAGAGGCGGGGACTCTCAAAAATACTATGACTACAAAGCACTACAGGGAAGTAAATACACTGTCTCTCGCTCCAAAATAAATGCCATGGCAAACCGGCATGCAAACCAGCCTCGTCCCTCCAGTAATCCTAGGAAGGACTGAAATGTGGACCACCTTCTTTGTGTTGGAGATTAGTGCCCGATATACGGATGAGAGATCCCCATAAATGCAGATGTCTATCTAATTTAGGACAAAGCTCCCTTTCTCTGAGCTGCAGCTATTTATCTGCAATAGGAGTCTCTTTTATCCTCTCTGTTTGGATCTCTGTTGTGCTGCACCAGGGGATCTTTCATGTGCACAGCCAGAGTGGTACATGCCCAGGGGGACAGGCAAAAAAAAAATCTTCTTTCATTGGTGATATTTCTGGTTGCTGCTGGTTGAACATACTGTGAAAAATAGCATGTTTTTAAGAAGCAAAACAAGCCAATTTGGATTACACACTGAGCACTAGCTTCCTTCCCCACCATAAACATGCTGAAGTCAGGCCCCTGCTTAACATAAAACAAGAAGGGTGTTCCTATAAAATTAAATTGTCCTTTGTCCTTGTAATCTAAATGCATGGATAACTGCATCACGGAAAGACGTGATCTGTTCTTTAATAGGAGCCCTTAGAAGAAATTCTCCTCTGAATCAGACCCAGAAAATAGACACATATGGGGTTGTGTTTGTTCTTTTGCTCTGGGGTTTTTTTAATTAGAAAAGGGAGAATTTATTAGACCCTGAAGGTACATAAAATCCCATTCGGGTCCAGATTGGCATTTATTTTATCTGACCTGGTTTAGCCCTCTCTAGCTGTTTGCCATATGTTTCTCAGGGACTAGACACATTAAGAGATGTTCAGCAAAGATGAATAGATCTTGCTTTCTTTGCTTGATTGACGTCCACCTGGGATCTCTGGTCGTTTTGTTAGAGCGAAGCCCTCAGCGAGTGTGTAACGCTGAATGTCGGACTCAGCTTCCTTCACTTCCATGTTAGTGTTGGTAATCGCTGTAGTTTTATCATGACTTAAATGCAGTTTTTACATTTAAATTTCCATATGGAGAATAATGCCCGACCTTAGAAAATGGCGCTCGGTCAAGAATTTCGTTTAAAAACAGTATTGAAATCTGTTGAGTAATATTTTTCACCAAACTTAATTCACCCTGCTGTCTAGGAGAGCTGCAGGCAATTCTCCTTGCTTTGGCATGGCTCTGTGTGTGAATATAGCCGCTTAGAGACATGAGTCAATAAAGGTTGACTATTGTGAGAGGTACATTTCTACTCTGCACTTTTGTTTCAATTCTTCCTTCAGGTAAGGAGGAAGATAATATTTTTAAAATTCACATCTGATCCTTAGCAGCAGCTTGGCAACAGTTCCTGGTTTGCATTGTGTGCGTCTGACCTAGTGCAGACACGCTGGTTTTACCCAGGAATGCTTCTCCAAGTGGACTGAGAAATAACCTTGCATTTACTGACTGAGAGCTCAGCTTCCATCCAGAAGCTCATTACAGACAATACAGGGCATTTCTCCAACATCCAGCTCCTATGTGTTTCACTAAAATAGAGCGATATGCTTTTGTTGCAATCGTGCACTCTGATAACATGTAATGACTTCCCAACTAGGGATCATAGGGGCTTGCTACACCCACACTTCCTTTGTGCCACCTCCTTCAGCTACATGCAAATCAAACACAGCACAAAGAGATCCTGGCATTTAGAAGGAAGACATTACGTGCACTTTATTTATATAAGGTAATTGCTAGTTGCTATTTGTTGCTATTTATCCCAGCAAACAGTTTTCTTTCAAACCGGGTGCATGTGCGCGCATGTGTTTGCCTCAACAGAGAGCTGAAGATTGGTCCTATATTCATAAAGTCTGCCACGGCTATGTTACTGTGAAAGATAAAAGGAAAAACACAAAGAGGCTGGTTGAGAAGAGTGGGGTGGGGGAAGAAAAGCAAGGAAAGAACGAATACAATAGAAAGGAAATGGAGAGCTAAGGCTGGGACATCAGGCAATCAATCTGAAGTGGAAATATTAGACTAACGAGCAAGAAAAGGGGAAAGGTCATCACAGGAAGCGGTCTAAAGTGGAAGGAGTGTGAAGAAAGGAGATGACGAGACACGGGACAATACAACATAGGATTGTGCCTGGTATTTAAGCGCTACCATAGGCAGCCAACTGAATTTGGACCCATCGCCCCCCTAATTTTGTGAAGAGCTCTCTCCATGTCATGCAAGTAGAGGCAGGTCTCACCGAGGCAGATCTTTCACTGTTTTCCCAAAGTCGGGGTCCGACGCGGTCTTGTGGCTCCCGTCTTTCAGTTGATGAGCCTCAGAGACTCTCATGACAATGTAACGCTGGGATCCTGGAAACATCGAGGGAGGAAACCATGAGTGCATGAGAAACAAGGGCTTGGGGCCACGCCAGCAGCAAATTCACAGAGGAAAAGAACGTACTTTGTGATACCGAGTGTGCCCTGCTCTCAGTCAGCCGGTGCTTAAGGAAAGTCTGCCTGTGAAATGGGAACCTGTTTTCTTAAGAAATTCTTCCCGGGGGGATATTTTGGTGTAAATATTTTACCAATTCCCAGCCAGGCCAAAAAAGCAGCACGCGCTGTACTCCTATTGTAGGGGAAGAGGATTTGGGAGCTATTTAAATAATCTCCTGCTATTTCCTCTCTCCCACTTCCCCTCTGCACGGACAAAAAAAGACAGGTAGCTATTTATTCCTGGTGTATGGGAACCCAGTAGAGAAAGGCTGAGAACAGCAGGGCATGAGATGGGAACATAACTTCATTAAGAAACCCAAGAAGTTGTTTCCCAGCCGATTTGTTTCCTCATTCGTTGGTACCCATCCAACAGAGCAACACTGTCCGGTAGATCTCAAAACAGGAGGAGCCGGCATGGACGAGCTAACGAACATGAAATCGCTGTGCACATGTGCAGCATGGCCAGGAAACGCCACCTTAACATAAGGGTCCAGCAAATGAGAACAAATGACAAAAGGCAGAGATGGCTTAAGGGGGGTGGTGGGACACTGATGCTTACAGAAGACCTTAACAGGAGCCAAATGCACAGTGGAAATTGTCTCCTGTTCCCTGTATATACAGCCGCAAATATATATAATTCACCTGGAGAATTCACCTGCAGAATATATATATTCACCTGCAGAATTCACCGGCAGAATATAATTCACCTGCCTGGCTGCGAGCTTTACTGGCGGTGTAAATAGCAGGCTAATAGCAGCAAAACAATGCACCTCTGTGCTGCCCCACTGGGGTAATTCACTTCTAATGCATTGCTCCAATGCAAAGCAGGGAATTTACCCGGCCCTGAGCACAGACAATGCTAGAGTGAGAAGTGAGGCTGGTCCTGGTGACAACAGCAGCAGGGACAACTTAGGTGAAAGAAAAACTAGGGATGAAACACTGCTGTCTCCCCTTCAAACCACAAAGTTAGGATTTTCTCTTGCAGGTACCTGGCAGCCGGTGAGGGTAACCCAGAATGGGGAAGGCAATGAGAAGGGAGGCAGCTCCGGCACCCAGAAATCCTATCCACCAGGCCCCAACCCAGTGAGGGTTATCTGGGGTTACATCAACTCTGTAAAAAAAGAAAGTGGGGAGAGGTTTTTAAGAGCTGCAACAACCCACTGATTTCAAAATAAACAGGACACAAGCACCTAAGTACCTTGGAGAACCTGGGCCCAGCATCATAGGGACAGACAGGCCGGGGCATCATAGAGACAGACAGGCTGGGGCAGAGCAGGGAAGTGAGCATAGATGTCCCAAGTTCTGGACCAGCCCTATAAGCCTTAGATCCTGTTTCCTGCACATGCAATGTCATCACCATGGACAAGCCAAGAAGTGATGACTAAAAGCACTTGAGTTCATCTGCTTAAGGCTGCATTTAGTGCTACTCTGAGGCTCATCCGTTCTATTTCCATTCTCTCTCTCTCTCTCATTGCCTCTCTCTGAGTCTGTGCTCAACCTCTTACAATGCTCACTGCAGGAATAGACAGCAGTGGCAAAGAAATCCTGATGACACACTCAGGCTGGGTTTTTTTAAGCCATTAATTGATCAAGTGGATACAAAGAAGAAAGAACATCTTAAACAAAACCACTGATAAACCCCGGAGTGAATAGGTGACCTTGTGAGGAAGAACAGAAGAGCTGGCAAATCCTTCCAGTGATCATAGCTCAGTGAAAGCAGGCAGTGAACCAGAAGGATGAAGGATTTGCAAGACAAGGCCTGTGAACAATTTTCTTCCGGGAGCTGCATTAATGCAAGCCTATCATTCTGCTGTCAGCTGCACCCCCTCGCAGCCCACTCACACAACCTCAGCGGGGTGAGACACCAGTGCAGACAATGGGTATTTTTACCATGCAAATTGCTAAGACCTACAGTAATTTCATTGCTTTAAAGGACGCGTGCAGAGGAAAGGAAAAGGAACAAAGCTGGGGGGGGTTTACCAACTTACTCTCTGCCAAATTCAGTGTAAATATTTAGAAACAGTCCTCCTACCAGGTACCCCGCTGCAGGGCCAAGGATGGCAGCAGTGTAGAAAACAGCTGAAAAAGAAAACAAGCAGCATTACAGACCATCTGTGTGGCCCAGATTACTCTGCCATTCAACCATCCCTTTCATAGGGAGCATCCACACAAGCAAGCACGTGTGCTTGTAGCAGCTCAAAAAGAAGTGGTGCAAATTCAAGCAGGGGCTTTTTGCTTCAGCGCACGTGCTTGGACATGCACTTTGTTGTGGAGCAAATTGTGCCACTTGGGGCAAAATAACCCTGCCTGGCTCCTCCCGGATCTGCAGCCAAGGGGGAGCTACAGCCCGGGGCAGCACCTGTGCTGTCCCCAGCAGGATAAAAAGCTGCCCTGTCCTGGCCTTATCCATACAAAAAGCTGCCCTGGCAAGCAGCTCAGGGCTACTCGCTCTCAGGAGCTTCTGGGACCCGGCCACTTGATACCTGGAGACACTACCCCGTGTGCAAGCTAGACTGCTGCAGCAGCATCCCAAATCCATCTTTAAAAATACTCCAAAATCCATGTTCTTCCAGAATTAAAGCAAAAGACCACTCTACACACACATCTCGAGACAGGAGAGAGACAGCAATCAGTTGGGCAATGCTTTATTGGTATATTTACAATATTAAAGCAATGTGGAAGCCTACCAGTGTCTCTATCATCATGATAAAATACATTTTTAATACCTACATGTGTTGATGTGTGCTTTTGGTTTTCTACTCACATGATGCACGTGTGCTGGGGGGATGTGGTGTTTGCAGGAAGGGAGTGAGAAGGGGAGTGTGTGTGTGTGTGTGTGTGTGTGTGGGTGGAGGGATGTGGGTTGGTCTGCGCGTAGGTGTGGGGCGATTGCTCGGGGGACTGTGGGTGTGGGGGATCTTGTGGGGGGCTGCTCAGGAGGGGTGGGTCCCCTGGCCCCCACAGGGTGAAGCCTCTCCCCACAGGGCCCCAGCTCCCCCCTGGAGGGCCACAGCCCCTATCCCACACAGGGCCCCAGCCCCCCTGCCCAGGGTCCCAGGCACCCTGGAGGGCCCCAGTTAGCTTTGATTTTTTTATACCCCTGGATATCCAGGGGTCTAATTTTCTCCCCACGCTGCAAACTTGCAGCCTGGAGAACATTTTTTCGTTCCTGCACATGCCTCTTGCACCATCTCAAAGGGGTTTGAGACGGGGCAAAAGGCACATGCGCGCTCATCTGGATGCGCCCATAAAGAAGAGGGCAACAATTCCTCAAATGACATGGGAGAAGGGGGTTCAACCAGCCTTCTCCCATGGGCAAGGAGTGATCTAAAAGTAGCGCCATCCTCGGAGCAGCCCTGGCAAGCATTGGGAGTCCCATGCCCCCTGCCAGGGTGGATGGAGCAGCTGTCAGCACTAAGTGCAGGGAGCAATGATCAGCCTCCATTTGGGAAGGTGCAAGTTCTGGTCTATAAGCGGGGGGAATGGACCACAGCTTGCTGCAGCTGACAGCATAGCCAGAAGAGCCTGCTGCGCGAGGCTGAGGACAAGCGGCCTGTGCTGCAATAAGAAGAGCACATGCCCCAGCTGCTTTGTGCTAAGGAGGAAAAATGATTTTTCTACTAGCATTTGATGCAGCAAGTACAACCCCCACTGTGCTGTCTCAGGAGAGGGGAAATTGTGCAAACCATCCCTCATCCCCACAACCCACTTACTCCCATCCACTGACACCTAGAGCCCTGGCTACTTCTTATTACCGTGCAGGACCTTCTAGTTCACGGCCTTGACATTAAGAGGCAAAGCCATACAGATCTTCCTTGTATTCGTGCCACAGTTGTTATAGTTGAAGACAGTCAATCAGGTCTATGTGTCTAGTGCAAGCACCCCCACTACCCCATTTATAGGTTAGACAGGTTGATTGGTTTCAATGGAAAATATGCCGAGTAATTTGGGGGCGTTTTAAATTATTAATTACGAGCCGAGTCCTCCTGCCATGTATACCTGCAATAATGCTCACTACTGCAGATACTACTACGGTGTCTCACCACTGGCAGTAGCAAGCAGTGCCGGCGGTCATTATTGCAGGGTTGGGAAGATGGATGTAGACTACTGATGTGAATGGGGCCTTGTGGGAGCTGGTGCTCTCTTCCTCTCCTTTACCACATCCTCCTATTTTACAGCGTGGGATCTTGATTTTGGATCAGGCCTCCAAAAACTAACTGCAATCAATGGAAGTCTTTCTACTGGCTTCAGATTTGGCCCTGAGTAATTTATATCATGGGTCCTGCGTGACTGTTATATGATTAGTGATTCTTTGAAGTAGGAACGAGCATTTTTCCCATCTGGCAAAGATTTATTATTGCCGTAAAGGTAGTACTGGTATGCCCCGATCAATGCCTTTCTTGTGTTATAGCTTTAAAGGGGAAAGTATGATTCAGAGTGCGGCATGATCTGACAAATGGTAAAGAGCTGTTGGCTATTCTCTAAGCACAGAAGCCGATATCAGCCCCTTGCATGCATCTGCAGCACAGAGGCATGTATGGGAATGTAATGCATATGCAGTCATAAAGTAATATATTTAGTCGCTGGGTTATTTCAAAATTGTTCTGGCCTGTAAATAACTCGAGGGAAAAAATCAAAACCTTCTATGATTTTCATCTCTTCTGATATTTGGAACAAATTATTTGGATTATGCCTGCTGGAATTCCCCAGTGCCAGCGCAGATGGATTTGATTTCTCTTCTGCCAACACGCCTGATGGATCACAACAGAAGAATCCCCCTCCACAGACCCCTTCACTTACCAATATACACCGGGGAGTAGCTAGACTTGACGTTGTCATCTAAATAAGTCACTCCGAGAGTGTAGAGCGGCGTTGCTCCGATCCCATGCAGGAACTGCCCAAGCATGAACATAAATCTGTAGGTGGAGAGGCTCGAGACCG